GTACTGCAGTGTGAATCTCTGCCCACTGCCGTCCTTCTCCCACACCTCTTGCATGACAGAGTATAATGAGCTACAGTTTTCCCTTTTTTCTTTCTTAAATCTGACTTGACACTGAGGGTGATGATTAGGGACAAAAGGAGAAAATAGAGCCGAATTTAAACACTTCATAGGAAACATGCCACATAGAACAGCAGAATTCTATAATCTGCATTATCCTAGAGTATGTTTTGGGCCAGGTGCAGTGGGGCATTCCTGTAATCCCAGCTACTTGGGAGGCTGAGGCAGGAGGGTTACAAATTGAGGGGTAGCCTTAGCAACTTAGTGAGGTCCTGCCTCAAAATAATTTTTTTTTTTTTTAAAGTATGCTTGGGAGACCTTGCCTGGCTCTGCCATGTTTAGACATGAGCTTTGAACACATTTCTTAACCTCTCTGTATTATAGTTTTCTTGTCTGTGAAATGGGGAACTAATAGGATACCTCTCTAAGCATAGTTGTAAGAATGAAATGAATCCGTATATGAAAAGTGACTTAGCATTGTGTTGTGACTGGATATAGAAGTGCATAATTTTTTTTTCAATACTGGGGATTGAACTCGGGGCTTCTTTTACCACAGAGCTATATCCCCAGCCTTTTTTTTTTTCTTTTAGAGAAGCTTTTGTTAAGTTGCCCAGGCTGACCTCAAATTTATGATCCTCCTGCCTCATAATGTACCACTGTGCCCAGCTAGAAGTGCATAATTGTCAACTTTCACTTGTATAATTATAGAACTTTGGGGCTGGGGATGTGGCTCAAGAGGTAGCGTGCTCGCCTGGCATGCGTGCAGCCTGGGTTCGATCCTTAGCACCACATACAAACAAAGATGTTGTGTCCGCTGAAAACTAAAAAATAAATTTAAAAATTAAAAGAAAATAAATAATTATAGAACTTTTTCTAAGGATTCTATTTAGAAACTATAGTCGTATATTTATTTCCCTTCTACTTCCTAACCTGAGCTATACATTAAGTGCCAAACCTTTGAAGCATTATTTTTTTAAATTTTTTAATTTTAATTTTTTTTGATACTAGGGATTAAACCTAGGGGTGCTTAACCACTGAGAAACCCCCCCTTTTTTTGGAGACGGGGTCTTGCTAACTTGCTTAGGGCCTCACTAAGTTGCTGAGGCTGATCTTGAATTTATAGTCCTCTTGCCTCAGCCTCCTGAGCCACTGGGATTACAGGTATGTGCCACCACATCCAGCTCCTTTGAAGTTTTGTAATGATATATGCAGGACAAATTAGACCATGGTTTGAGCTAAAGAGACATATCCTGAAGGTTTTATATTTTGACTTGTGAGAAGCTACAAGGACTTAGTGGTAAATTTATTCTTCACAATTATGTGTCAAAGAACAGAAATGAAAGTGTATTGGAAAGCTAAAATCCTTTAGATGTTTTATTTCTGATTATCGGGTCTGAGAGACACAGGGAAGGATCTGGACACATTCTTTCACTTGCTTCTCTTAATTCCGTCTGTGGGTTTTAGAAATGCAACAGCCACATTTAGAAAGCATGGCATGCTTAATTAGGAAAATAAACTTTTTGCAGGAAAGAGTCCCATACGCTGGGACTGCAGAGATTACTCTAGGTGTACTGGAGAGACTAGGCACCAAACCACAGGAGACAAGAACTACACCTACAACTCTTGGAGCAAGAGTTGGATTGCTCTTGTCTTAGATCCTCTAGTAATATAAAAAGGGACTCCTCATTAAGAAAAATCTAAGAAAGAATTGAAGTCTGCCATCTGGTGGCAGAAAGGAGTCAGCTAAAATCAGTGAACATTTTTGGCATCCAGTGCCCTCATGGCACTTTGCTCAGGATGATGATGACTTTGGCATCTCGTGAGCCAACAGCAGCTTGTGTCTGCCCCTCCTGGGAGTTTCTAAACAGTTTCTAAAACAAAAGGCGGGAAGATTGTTGAGCATCTCAGTTGTGATGCTCAGTATAGTCAGCCTCCAGAGCCAAAGACTCTGCATCTGCAGATTCAACTAACCGGGACTGAAAATATTTGGGGAGGGTGGGGAAATTGCCTCTGTCCTGAACATGTACAGACTTGTTCTTGCCACTATTCTCTAAACTATTAGAATAGCATACCACTATTTTCATAGCATTGACATTGTATTAGGTCTTATAAATAATCAAGATATGATTTAAAGTTCTTGAAGAGGCAGTAGCTCAGCGTAGAGTGTGTGCTTAGCATGCACAAATTCCTGGGTTCAACCCTCAGCACCACACATGCACACACACAAAATTAGTATATGGGAGGATATACATAGGTTATATGCAAGTACTTTGCCATTTTACTTAAGGGACTCAAGCATCTGCTGCTTTGGGTATACTCTTGGGTCCCTGAAATTAAATATCCATGGATACTGAGGAACAACTGTATAGAAACAGAAGACCCTGGGGAAGTAGGACCTGTGTGTTTTGGTGGCAATCCCATGACTTTTCTCATTCACACACTGGCCCATCCACTCATTGCACAACTTTATTTACATATTTATTTGGCAATAGGAATTGAATCCAAAGGGCTTTACCACTGAATGACATCCCCAGCACTTTTTTT